AGGCACTGTGACGTTTTTGTGTTTATATTTAATTGGTATGTTGGAGTGGCTTGCCCATGATTTTCGTTTTCTTTCTTTTGCTTGTATGTTATCTATGCAAGCAGGGTACTGTGCTCCTCTATTCACTAGTTGACAGCACTTATACACTCACCACCTGTCTCCTTTCCTGTTGTCAGCCTCTCATATGACCCTGCCGACCTTGGCAAACAGAGCCTATTCTTAGGTCTCTGGAATCTGAATGAGAATGCTGTCACTCCAAAATCCAAAATGGTTGCCACTTGTAAAGATTCAAAATGGCTGCACCCTCAGTCACTTTACATATCCAAAATGGCCACCACTTGTAAAGATTCAAAATGGCTGCACCCTTGGTCACTTTGAATATCTAAAATGGCTGATGATTGTAAACATTCAAAATGGCTGCACCCTCTGTCACTTTAAATATCCAAAATGGCTGCCACTTAAAAACAGTCAAATGGCTGTGCCCTCCGGACGGCGGAAAGTCCACAGCTCAGGTTGTGTCCCTCCTTGCTGTTTCCCTTCCTAGTCATAGGCCATGAACGCAGTCATCCCTGCAGCCCTTGGTGACCAGGACTGATATTTAGGTCAATTCTCAGGTCCCAGTACCACTTAGAAATATTAGGCTGTTGGTCTCGTTAGAGTAGCTAACAGTCCGCAGCTCCAACCCTCTGTGTACTTTTGGGTCAGGTTTTTCCACTAGTTGGTGCCTAATCCATTTCTGTATAGTTCCTTTCAAAGCTCAGGGTTCCAGGATTATCATCTGTATCTCTGTCAATTGATTTTTCTTTTCTTTGTTGAAGAGGGCCTGTGTCGCTTGTCTGCCTATTCCTCCATCTTCCGTAATAGTTATTATTGTATATAACAGCTTTTACAAATTTTCTTTTTTAAGTTTTTTTAAATTAATACCTTGAGTGATAATATTTTCAGCTTTAAAACTTTCCATTTCTTTATTGTATTTGCTAATAATGCACAGTTTATGAATACTGTGGTGTAATATCACAGATAATTAAAAATACGTTTTATATTAGTACATTTCAGAATTGAAACCAGGAGGGAAAAACACTAGAAATGGCTGTGGAGGAACTTCAATCCATAATAAAGAGATGTGTAAGTAATTTTTTCTTTTTAATTATATTTGAAGTCACTCAAATTGTTTACCATCTTTAATCCTTGCTTATATTAACTTGTGAGTTAATAATTCCTGCATGAGGTCAGGAAAGCAGATTGGATTATTTTTCCAAGTGACATATTTATCTCAATAGCCTTTTAAATCTTAATACTGATACTTTTCATAAATTTCTTTGGTAACATGGGCTTCAAGATCATTCTTTAAAGTATTTATTAGGGTCATCCTGATTTTCATACTTGTGTTTATCTGCAACTTATCTAGAATGCAAACAGATTTCTCTTTTCACAGAGATAAATCAAGTAGCTATTGTATTGAAATTTTTTTTTTGTATACATAGGTTTTTTTGTTTTGTTTTGTTTTGCCAGCAAATCCTAGAAGAAGAAGACTTTAAAGAAGAAGATTTTAGCTTATTTCAGTTAGCAGGCCAAAGATGCATAGATGAAGGGCACATAGACCAGCTATTAGAAATTATTCAAAATGAAAAGAATAAGGTAAGTACTATCTTTGTGTGCCCTTTTCATTTTTACTGGGAAGACAAAGCTGCATGGTGCTATTTAGTCATCCATTCGTTTATGAAACATGTAAGTATCAACTAGGAACAAAGTATAGTAGGAAAGTATGTAAGACAAAAAAGAAATTAGGCATATTCATATGTTTTAAGGTACTTACAATCTGGTAGAAAGGATAAATACATAAATTACTAGCAGTAAGGAGGCAGAATAAATAAGTGCTGTAGTAGAGGTATAAAAAAACTCTTTAGTAGGAACAGGAATTATGATTTAGATGATCCAAGAGTGGCATGTAAATCATTGATATATATGGAAAAATACAATCCTCAGTCAGGTTAGATATCCACCCCCCCCCTTTTTTTTTTAAAAATTTTTATTGTGATTTGGGTGAAAGTTTACAAAGAAAATTCATTTTCTGTACAGCAGTTCATATACATTTTGTTTCATGATATTGACTACAATTCCCTACAATGTAATAGATCTCTTCCCACTACTTCCCTATAGTTACATATTCCCTGTGTCCTTCTTTCCTATGCATTTCTGCCCTGAGCTATCTCCCTGTGCAAACACTGCCCTCTGTTTTCCCGTAATTTATCATTCTAAGGAGTGTAATTACCTGATGTAAATGTTCACCCTATATACCTGCCTATTGTTTGGCTGGAAGCCACAGGAGTGAGTCTAATTCCAGACCTTCAGGGCCATGGTCTTGGGAGTATTACCAGGCTCTATTAAACCAGTAAACCTGGTCTTTTATATGATTTTGAGTTTGGTTCCACATTGTTCTCCTACTCTATCTAGGATCTCCTGCACTGATCCCTTTCCAAGTGGTTGACAGTGGTAGCCAGGCACCACCTAGTTCTGGTCTCATGGTCATATACGCTGATGTTTGCATGGTCCACTAGTTCCTTGAATCAGCTGTTTCCATGCCTCTTTGCTTTTCTTCATTCTTTGCTCTGGATTGGGAGAGACCCATTGTTGCATCTGGATGGCCGCTTGCAAGCTTTTAAAACCCCAGTTGCTACTCACCAAAGTAAGACGTGGAATAATGTTTTTGTGTAAAAAAAAAAAAAACCCAAATTCACTGCCATCAAGCCAATTTTGACTCATAGTGACCCCCATTGGGTTTCTGAGGCACTAAATCTTTATGGAAGTAGATTGCCCCATCTTTCTCCCGCAGAGTAGCTAGTGGGTTTAAACTGCCAACCTTTTGGTTAGGAATTAAATGCCATAGGCACCGTGCCACCAGAGTTCTTTTGTGTAATATGTTATGCCAATTGAGCTTGATGTCTCCTGTGACTATGGTCCCAAGCCCACAGATCCAACAACTCACTCTATCAGGGTGCTTGACTGTGCCTAAGAATTTAACATACCTTTGCTCCTTGTTAGTTCTAGTTATATGGATATTCTTATAGCACATAGAAATATGTGTATAGAAATACCGTCTGCCAACCTTATATATGGACATGGGTATATTCCCTTTTGCTTAAACATTCCTAATTTTTTTTTTTTTTTAACTTCTTTCAGTTTTATTATTTGAGTATTTACTGTGTACCACATGTCTTTGCAAGTGCTTTGCATCTGTTAATTCATTAGCCTCTCCAGAATCTAAATTCACTTTGTAGATATGGAAATGGAATCACTGTGAGCCTAGCTTCAGAGCTTTTAACCAGTTTGTTTTTATTCCATTTAGCAAATGTAAGCACTTGCTTGGAAGTTTTGAATAGGATAGAGGGAACTGAATGATTGTGGGGCTGAAAGAGGGTAAGGTGTGAAAGATAACTAGGTTTCCTGCCTCTGAAAGGGTAATATATCCAGAACAGAAGAAGGCAACCCAAAGAGAAAGTTTTCTGAAAGAAGACACGTGATTTTACTTTTAAACCAAAACAAACCAAACTCACTGCTGTCAAGTTGGTTCCGACTCATAGTGACTCCTCCTTGGGTTTCTGAAGTGGTATCTCTACAGAAGTAGATTGCCCAGTCTTCCGAGGAATGGCTGGTGGGTTTGAATTGCCAGCCTTCTGGTTAACAGTCAATTAAATTTTAAATTCAACAAGTACTTGGAAAATAAGGTTTGGAGGTCAGTAGAGTAATAGGAGATTTGGATGTAGTAGATTTGTGAGTAACTATTAGAGATTAGGTTTGCTAAGTGGTACAAGTGGGTTACTCTCAGCTACTAACCAGAAGTTAATGGTTTGAATCCATCTATTGGTGTTGTGAAGGAAATGCCTAGCAATCTGCTTCTGTAAGATTATAGCCAAGAAAACTTTGTGGAGTGCAGTTTCACTCTGAAGCACATGGGGACACCTTGAATCAGAATCAACTTGAGGGCAGTGCATTTGGTTTCTATCATTGTTAGTTGCTGTTAAGTCGATTCTGACTCACAGTGACCTTATGTACACTGTAGGATTTTCAAGGCTGTGACCTTTTGGAAGCAGATTGCCAGGCCTGTCTTCTGAGGTACCTCTGGGTGGTTTCAAACCACCAACCTTTTGGCTAGCTTACACGTTTGTACCAACCAGGGAGCACAGGGTTTGGTATTAGATATTAAGTAATTACACTATTTGATGAAAACAATAATTTGCCTGAGTTTATAGAAATGGGGCAGAAGAGAAGAAGCCTAGGACCTAATCTCAGGGAATTCTGTCATTCAGTGAGCAGGTAGAGAGGAAGAAGGCTGCCTTGGAGATAAGGGTCGGTATGCCATCAGTGTGGCAGAGGGATAAGTGTAACTAAATTGTTCTTCAGCATTATGTGTATAAGTATTCTATTTTTAGCATGCTTCTAAATAGCTAATGCTACAGATTTAAACAGATTTCAGTGTGGCTTAGTCTTGATAATTTGAGAATCACTTTTGTAATATGTGTTCTGCTAAATGTAGTTGCTGACAAGACAATGTTTAAAACTGACTACAACTTGTTTTTCTTACCAGGTGATATTATTCAAGATTTACTATTGCTCTGCTTTGGGTGCAATACTTTTATGACTTTTTTTTTTTTAAGCCAGGAATAGTCCTTTGTCCAAAGGCACTATTGTGCAGGGTTTCTCAATCTTGGCACAATTTGTAGAGGATAATGTGTTGTTATGGGGAACTATCTTATGCATTGTAGGATATTTAGCAGCATCCCTGGTCTTTACCTGCTAGGTATTAGTAGCACCTGTCACCCCCATCTCTGTTGTTATTTTTACTGTTAGTTGCCATCGAGTTGGTTCTGACTCATGGTGCCCCTTTGTGCATCATAACAAAGCAATGCCCCATCCTGTGCCTTCCTCACAATCATTGCTAAGCTTGAGCCCATTGTTGCAGCCACTGTATCAATCTATTTTGTAGAGGATCTTCCCATTTTTCGCTGACCCTCTACTTTACTAGAGAGTCTCTGGTGGCATAGTGGTTAAAGCATTAGGCCGCTAACCAAAATGTTGGTGGTTCAAACCCACCAGTTGCTCTGCAGAAGAAACATGAGGCAGTCTGCTTCCATAAAGATTTTACAGCCTTGGAAACCCTGAGGTGATGGTCCTCTGTCCTAAAGGGTTGCTTTGGAAACTCAGTAGGGGTTGTTATGAGTTGGAATGGATTTGATGGCTGTTTGGGTTTTTTTTTTTTTTTTGTAAAAAGGTGGTGCCATGGCTAAGGCAGTCGACTGCTAAACAAATTCTTGGCAGTTCAAACCCACCAGCCACTCCTCAGGAGAAAGATAAGGCAGTTAGTCTGCTTACGTAAAGATTTATAGCCTTGGAAACCCTTTGGGGTCACTGTGAGTCAGAATTGATTCAGCAGTGGGTTTTTGGTAAAAAAAAAGCATGATCGTTTTGTTACGTGTTTTAAAAATATTTATGTCTTCACTTTATGCCATATTCTCAACATAAACATTGAATAAAAAAAATATAATTAAAAAAAATAATTTAAGCACATAGTTATAAATCTTCAAAGGGGCCAGTCCATTTTAGATTTAAAGTAGTACAAGAGAGACCAAAGAAAAAATTTATATATTTAGCTACATAAAAAATAAAACGAAAAAAAATGAGTAATTATTTGTCCTAAATAAAACTAAGTTAATGTTCTTGACATACAGGGAGCGAATGCAAATTATTATGACAAAAACTAAAATATTCAGTTGATATATGAGCAAAGATGTGAAGATAGTATTTTCTCTTTTGTGAACTATGTTTTCACATATCCTCACACACTACATTGATAGTTCTCTAGGATATGTTAAGCCTCTTGCTTTTATACTTTGCTGTTGTATATATTTGCTGCTGAATGTATTTCATACCTATCTATGCCTGACAAATTTCATTTTTCCATCAAGTCTTAAGTTAGCCATCACCCCTTCTGGAAAGCTTTTCTTGCTTTCTGTAAGTGGAGGTGACTATTCTGCTGTATCTTTTACTCTTGTCTGTATTATTTTGTCAGACCCGGGAAGGGAGAAAGTATTGTATATGACTCTTTGTCTTCTTACTGGATCTGTTGTTTTAAGAGTGAACACTAGAATGTAAACTCCATAGGAATAGAGATCTCACATGACACATTCTGTTCCTTGCTTTATTTCTAGCACCTATAATATTCTAAGGACCTGACATAGTACAAGTGATCTTCATTGTCCATGAATTCTGTATTGGCAAATTCACCTACTTGCTAAAATTTATCAGTAACACCAAAATTAATATTTGCAGTGCTTTTGTGGCATTCACAGAGATGCACAGAGCGGTGGAAATTTTGAGTCACCCAATGAGCATGTTCCCAGCTGAAGTCAGATAAGAGGATGCTCTGCCTCCTTGTTTCAACTCTTACTGCAATCAGGTGTCCTTTTCTTGATCCTTTTAGTGCCAACTTTTTTTTTTTTTTTTGCATTTTTGTGCTTTTTGTTCATGATTTTGTTTAAAATAGCCCCCAAGCATAGTTCTGAAAGTGCTTTTTTTTTGGTGTTGTAAGTGCAGGAAGACAGTGATATGGCTACGGAGAAGATATGTATGTTAGATAAGCTTTGAATAAAGCATTAGTTGTCGTGCCATTGGCCACCAGTCCAATTTGAATGAATCAATGAGATGTATTTAAATAGAAACACACATAAAACTGCTGTGACCAGAGGTTCACAGGAACCTGGACCTAGATTTCTTCTAGGAACTGTGGTTCAGGATTCATTAATTCAGTGTCCATGGTGAACTTTTTAGTATAAAACTACTAGAAATAATGAGAATCAACTGTATACGTTTGGTAAATACTGATGAGTTGAAGTGGAAAGCAAGCCAGAGAAGTTTTGAAAATTAGTAATTTTGGTAATGAATGTGACTCACTAATTAAAAGGATAAATTTTTACTTGTGTAGTACATTTCAAAATATCTTTGAAAGTATAAGCAACTTGTATGTAGGAGAGGATATTAATAAAGTGGTATCTCCTTCTTTTACATAAATAATGAGGATTATAGTACTTTATATTTAGAAAATTTCCAAGGAACTTGAAAAGGTTCACGAGTATTAGCTTGATTTCTTTATGGATCAAGTGAGCAACATTATCCGTGGAAGTCAAGTATTTGCTTATGTTAAGCAAATTAATATGCTTACTGGATATAGAGGAACTATTTCAATCCTGGAAAGACTGACTTACCAGATGAAAAGTAAAGGTCCCTTTGTCTTTCCTTAGTCAAAGTATTAAAGGCTGGTTTATGTAGGCATATCTCAGAGATATTGCAGATTTGGTTGCAGACCACTAAAGCATATATTGCAATAAAGCTAGGCACATAAATTGTTTTGGCTTCTAAGTGCACTTAAAAGTTGTGTTTACACTATACTGTTGCCTACTAATGTGTAATAGCATTATGAAAAAGTTTGAAATATTGTGAGAGTTAACAGAATGTGACACAGAGACAAAATGAGCACATGCTGTTGGAAAAATGGTATCAGTGGACTTGCTCAATGCAAGATTGCCACAAACCTTCAGTTTGTAAAAAACACAGTATCTGTAAGGGAGCTCTGGTGGCGTAGTTCCTAAGGCATTTGACCGCTAACCAGAATGCTGGCAGTTCAAACCCACCAGCTACTCCACAGAAGGTAGAGTGGGCAATCTATTTCTGTAGAGATACTGCCTTGGAAACCCAAAGAGAGGTCACTATGAGTCGGATTCGACTTGATGGCAGTGGGTTTGGTTTTTTTAATATGTGTTGATAATCTCTTGGCAACTGTGTTAGTCTCCTAGAGCTACTATAACAAAGTACCTCAAAGTGGGTGGCTTAAAACAGCAGAAATATATCCTTCCAAATTATAGAAGCTAGCAGTCTGGATTTAGGGTGTCATCAGGGCTGTGCCATCTCCAGGTCTCTAGGGAAACTCTCTTCTAGCTTTTGGTAACCCAGATACTCCTGGACTTACAGTGGCATCACTTCAGTCTTTGTCTCTGTTATCACATGGCCATTTTCCCTCTAGAAGTGACTCTGTCTCTTCTCTTTTTATAAGGACTAGTCATACTGATTCAGGACCCACTCTATTCCAGTGCAACCTAATGTTAAATAATTACATCTACAAAGAGCCTGTTTCCAAGTACGGTCATATTCACTGGTACAGGGGATAAGACTTTAACATATATTTTTGGGGGCACAATTAAATCCTTAATATCAGCCAACATGAGGAAGTCAGTGGTAAAATGTCATAGACCTCACTTTCTTCATCTTTCCTGTTTTAGAGAAAAGTCTAAGTTCTTCCAAGTTAGGAAAGCACACTAAGAGTCCTATAGATGGCAGTGTTTGCTTTACTCTGAAAATATTTTCACAGATCATCATCAGGAATATGGGCTGGAATCTTGTTGGGTCTGTTGTTCGATGCCTTTTATGGAATGATAAAGAAGATGATAAAAGAAAAGAGTATTTTCTGATGCTTGATTTATTGGTAAAGGTAAGTTTATACAACTAGATTCTTTTTTCACAACATATAGCAGTATTTTCTAATTCCCTTTATTGTTCAGAGCTTTAATGCTTGTTATTTGGTTTTTTGTTTTTTGTTTTTGTTATGTGCCGTCGAGTCGGCCCCGACTCATAGCGACCCCTCCTTGGGTTTCCGAGGCAGTATCACTACGGAAGTAGGATTGCCCAACCTTCCTTCCGAGGAGTGGCTGGTGGGTTTGAACCGCCAGCCGTCTGGTTAGCAGGCAAGTGTCTTAGCCACTATGCTACCAGAGCTCTCTGTTATTTGGTAAGAAAGCATTTAGCTCATGAAAATATGTGTAGGAGGGAACTCTTTGGAGAAAAGGCCCAATCATATAGATTGGATGGATGATTACATTTTAGAATTTCCAAATTTTCCTGTATATAAAAATTACCTATCTCATCTCTGACTTGACAGCAGTGAGTTTTTTTGGGGGGAGGGGGGGTTACCTCATCTCAGATCCCCCCCCTTGATTCTAAGAGAGGCCCAGAAAGCTATATTTTTAATAAGTGTCCTCTATTATATAGATGTGGAATTCAAGGCTTAGGGAGATACTTTAAGGACATACTGATATTTTGGAAACATTAGAACTAGAATCAACTCTCACTGCTTGAATCTCTGTGGTATAGTCTCTAAAATTATATGAAAAACCTAGAGTGCAAGTGATCATAATAGAAGTAGGAATAGGAAGTAGAACACTAACCAGTTGTGACTGACAACTTGTTTAAAGGTTAGTAGGGGTAGTAGGGTTGCACTGAGCTAATCTACTGCTAGGGACCTCTTTGTTAAAGAGCAAAGATGTCACTTTGAAGACTAAGGTGCACCTAACCCAAGCACGCTTCTTGTGCATATTTTCATTCGCACGTAAGCGTGTGAAAGCTGGAGAATGAATAAGGAAGACCAAAGAAGAGTTGGTGCTTTTGAAGTACTGTGGTGGCAAAGAACACTGAAGATACCACGGACTTCAGAAGAACGAACAAATCTATCCTGGAAGAGGTGCAGCTGGAATGTTCCTTAGAAGCAAGAATGGCCAGGCTTCATCTCACCTATTTTGGTCACATGTTATCAGAAGGAGCCAGTCCCTGGAGAAGGGTATCATGCTTGGTAAAGAAAAGAGGGTCAGCGAAAAAGGGGTAGACCCTCAATGAGAAGAATTGATACAGTGGCTGCAACAGTGGGCTCAAGCACAGCAAGGATTGTGAGGATGGCGTAGATCCAGCAGCATTCCATTCTGTTGTACATGGGGTCACTATGAGTCATAGCCAACTTGACAGCATCTAACAACAACAATAGAGTTGCTATGAATTGAGATTGACTCAACAGCAGTGTTTTTTGTTTAAGAGCTATAAGTTACTATATAACTTATACTGATGACTGAGAAAATATCTGAGAAATAGATGTTATAAGAAGCTACTGGGAGATCAGTACAAAGAAACAAGATATATACTTGAAAGGAGGAGCTCTATCTAGATATCAGTTATAAATTACAAGGGCTTTTAAAAAACAAGGTAAGTTAAGTGATAAGATATAGCCAATCAGAAGGCAATACAAAGCTGTATCTCTTCAGGAGATACCAAAGAGATTTCCGTCTGGACTACTCATAAAGAGATAGAAAGGTCCCATCTGATGGACACCCTGGGGTTCTTCAGCAGCCTTTAGAGTAGACAGGTGAAACAAAGTAAATGTCAGCTCTGGTGGTCAGCCTTTCCCTTCCTATACATTAATAGGAATTTAAGTCTCCACACTCTTGTTGCCATTAAGAGACCCACTGACTTCTTTCTTCTTTGATTTCTTGACAATCACAGACTATACGTTTTGCTTCTGCATTTTTTTATTTTTTTATTTTTTGGGGGGGTAACAATTCCATGAGGTGTTTTACTGTTAAGCAAAAATAATTGTATGTTCTTAATGTATGCCTTCTTTTAAAACTAGTAATCATGTGGCTTTAAATACAACTTGTATTAAACAGGTTCAATTGTGAATATTTTTATAGTTATGTAATCCAAAGGAATTATTGTTGGGTTTGCTTGAACTGATTGAAGAGGCCTCTGGAAAAAAGATATACCAAGTTATTCTTCTTTTACTTCAACCGTTACAGACAGGTAATGGGGATTTTGGTATCTGAATATTTCTTGTTGTGTATATGTAAGTAGCCTTGATGTTTTACTCCAAAGCACCCATACTACACCGTCATGGAACTGATGACTAATTATTGAGTACTCTGCTTAAACTAATAATAGTAATGCCAATTTAAATCTTTCTGCTCATAAAAAGATGGCAGACAGTACCTGGCACAGAGTGGGTAACTAGTATATATTTTATTGAATATCATACTTTTTTTATGTGCTATGCTATAACTTACGATTTTTGTCTAACTTCCAATCTATAACTTAGATCTAGAATTTCCCTCTAAACATACTTAAATGATTACCTCTCTGGTGTCTCCAGTACTCCTATGAAGTACCTGTATCTTGGTTAAGAGCAGAATCAGGCAGGGCATTGCTCAGCCTCTGCATTGGAGAAGTGGGGGGCACTATGGGTTGTGGTTGGGAGTAGCAACTGCTGAGGAATGAAACTAAGAAGTGGAGTGATAGAGCTCCGTGGTTGAATGCAGTAACGGTGTTGTTGAGTAGTGGACTTCCGCAGCCAATGTAGACGTTGTTTATCCATGGGAAGAGCTACTTTTTTATTTCATCTCCTTCATATAACTTAGAATCTGATAAAGGGACCCAGAATCAGAAGTTAGAGTAAAATTGTTTTAAATATAAATGTCTATCTTTGTTCCACTTAAAATATTTAAAGGTTTCTTTTACAAAAAAAAAAAAATCTAATTCTACTTCACATTTGTGCAGTGCTTTATAGTTTATGAGATACTTTCTCATCATAACATCTCCTCCCAAATGTTACTGTTGTTAAGTATGTAACCAGTTATAAATGTACCTAAACAAGATTTCATGGCATCTGTTGTGTTATGGCCATGATGGGAAGATGCTCCATTATTTTACACACTAAGAAAAGCACTGCCAGTTAAGCTATGGTATGCCATCCTAATTTCAGAGTTGTTAAAATGTGGTGGGAAATGTATCTTACAATTCTACTTTTTTTAGGCTTCTTGTGCCATGCTGAGCATACTTGATGAAGCTACCTCATCTCTGGTATCTGTTTTAGTGATTCAGAAACTTCATAACAACAAGGCATATTCAGTTGGATTAGCATTGTCTACACTTTGGAATCAACTGTCTCTTCTTCCTGTTCCATACTCAGAAGAACAAATACAAACAGATGAATATGGTCTTTGTCAGTGTTGCAAGGCCTTAATAGATTTCACTAAGCCTTTTGTGGAAGAAGTCATTGATGCCAAGGAAAATTCACTAGAAAATGAAAAGTTAAAAGATGAGTTACTGAAATTGTAAGTATATTTGAACTTAAGTCATTGATAGCCAATTGAGTTATTTTATGTTTCTTTGCCTTATGTATTTGCCATATAAATATAAATTTGAACTTTTAGAAGAATATGGGGTTCAGATGATATGATAGTGAGACATTTAATGAAGTACTAATTTTGAAAAAAAAATGTAAAATGAAAAGTCATGTAATTTAATTTATGTTCATCTGTGTATAGCCTTTACTCATCATGGTAAATGAACAGTGAAAGTGGGGGAAATAGATACATGTAACTCAAGGAATCTGATCTTTCCCTGGGGAAATTGTTTTCACTCCCTCTTTGAAAGCAGGAGAAGACGCACTGGACAGTTGGACATCCAGCTTGACCACAAAAACTATGGCAGAGTACCCAATAGTATTCACTCCAGAGATACTATAGATTAAACCTTACTGTCCAGTGTGTCTATTAAGAACTTGGTATATGGTTAGTCCTACTTAAGATACTCTCTTAAGTTTAAAATACCCACTGGATTTTGAAGACTTATCATGAAAAAAAAAAAAAAGCCTCAATAATTTTTTATTTTTTACATGATTGAAATGATAATATTTCAGATATATTGGGTAAAGTAAAATATATATTATTAAACTTAATTTCTTTTTTATTACTATGACTTTTCTAATTTGAAAATTTTTTTAATTATATATGGGATTTACATATTTCTATTGGGCAGTGCTAGACTAGGTTATTGGTGGTCTAGCCATCATAGTCCAGTAGTTTTTTATGTTTTTAATTTTGGGGACTAATGAAGTATCATCAGCTTTCTATGTTGTCGGGTTAGGATATTTTTTTAAAAATTACCATTTATCTCTGTTTCATAAGAGCAAAGATGTTTGTTTAAAACGGAAAGGCTTAATTACAGAATAAAGTTTAGTTTTCTAAATAAAACAAATATACCTTTATGGGAAAATTAATACACTGTCCCAATTTTTCCTTAAACTAGTAAAAACTACATCCTGGATGAGCAGTATCCCTAAGATAAACATTCAGAGTCCACTGGCATATTCCAGATAACATGGATATTGTCACCACATTGAGTATAGCAGGATATTCTTATGCTCTCTCCAATATTAGTAAAAAGGATGTTACAGCACCCATTTTATAGGTCATTGGTGCCTGTGTAATTTTTATAAACTAGGTATTTTATACTTAGAATGTATTGTGTATATTCATAATTACCCATTTCTTTTTACTATAGTTGTTTCAAAAGCTTGAAATTCCCTTTGCTGACAGCACAATTCCGTAAACAGCCTGAAGAAGCTGGAAATGATCCTTTAAGGTGTTTTGCATCTGAGATAATAGTAAGTACAGCTAATTTAATTTGCTCTAAAATCTGCTATAATCTAAAATACTGTGTATTCTCATATACTGAAGATAGAGGTTGGATTTTACTGAGATGAAGTTGGAAGCAAGGAGACTGGTTAGGTGTCTCTTGGGAGTTAAGTGAGAGGTAATGGGAGCCCAAGTTATATACAGTGGTAGAGAAGAAGAGGAGATGACAGATTTGAGAACTTTATAGCAGGTAAAATTGGCAAAATTTGGTGATTGATTGGATTTTAAAGAATAGTAAAAGGAACGAGTCAAGGATGAAGTTTTGTTTTTTTTCTTGGGTAATTACACAGATAAGGTGCCAATAATTGAATGAGAGAATGTAGTGCAAGTCTTGTGCTTTTAAAAAATGTTTTTATTTAAAAAAAAAAAAATTAAGGAGAGGAGAGAGGACAATTAACATACCCTCATGTTCCTGGTTCCAACAGTTAGCAACATTTTGCCAGTGTTATTTCATCTGTCTTCTTGCTGTTCTTGTATTATTTTATAGCAAGTCTTAATCATAACATTTCATCCATAAATACTTCAGTGTGTTTCTCTAACTGATAAGGACTTTTTCTTTTCTTTTTTTTTAAAAAAAAAATAACCACAATGCCATTATGATACCTAACAAGATTAACACTAATTTCTTAATATATATACCAAATACTCAGAAAGAGCATGTTTTTAAAGAGGAAATTATTCATAAGAGTGGGTGAGATCACATAAGGAGTTAGATCACTCTGAGAAGAGAAACGGGCTCAGGACTGAAGCTTAGATGGTCCAGCACTTAAGGTGAGCTCACCATGGAGACCATAATTGTGATACTATCTATAGTTTTGTGTGATTTTCTCCAGCAGTACTGAGCTGCCTGAGTAGAGACATAGAGAAGGTGGATTTTAGTCATTTTGCAAAGGCTGGCATTTTTCTGGGTTATTTTTGCTGTTAATTGCCATTGAGTCAGTTCCAGCTCATGGTAGCCCCACATGTAGAGAACGGAACTGCTATGTAGGGTTTCCAAGGCTATGACCATTTGGAAGCAGATCACCAGGCCTGTTTATGAGGCATCTCTAGGTGGGTTTGAACCACCAGCCTTTCAGCTGGTAGTCAAGTGCGTAACTATTTTCTACCACCCAGAGCTCCATTTATTTATTTATTTACTTTTAAACTGGGTAGATGTAGCTAAAGAAAATAAAGGGTTCTTGTAGTTCAGATGACCAGTATGTGTGGTCCAGGTTGGATAGAGAAGGAAGGAAGGTTAAATTGGGGTGGATAGGTTAGGTTAAAATGGAGACTAGAAAATAAGAAGTAGAAAAGTAGGTTGGTAGGAGAGAAGTTAGGAGGTAGTCAGAAGGTGGGAAAGTGGAGTTACAGATAACTAATATGGAATAGCTCTAAATGTTGTCTGAGATCCAGGATAAGATTAGATGAGGAAATGGATCAGAAGTAAAAGTCACCAGAAGTCAAGAACTGTGAGGCTGCCATGGTACAATGGTAGTCTATGTGAACTTCTAACTTTCCTGGGATCAAAACAGAAGTTAGAGCAGAAAGAAAGATTGTGAGCAGGTACCAAAATCTCCTTCAGAGACTATGAGGAAGTGAACAAGGAGTAAGTATATGACAGAGATAAGGACAGATAAAGGGCATCTGCCTCAAAGGAAACTGCTTTCACTTGAGAGTACAAGAAAAGCCTCACAGCAACACGCCACAAGAGCACGACAGACAAATTCGTCTCCATTAGCTGTTCAAACCCTCTCCATCCCCAGCTTACCAGGATCCCTGCCGCTTGCTCACTCTGTCCTGGACGCCCTGGCTTTCTTTTCCTTTCCCTTCCACTTTTCCTGCAGCTTGGGAGTTGGGGCCTGGGTCCCTCCCCTTACCTGGATTCCTCTGCCACTTGCTCGCTCTGTCCTGGACGCCCTGGCTTTCCTTTCCCCTCCCCTTTCTTGTGACGGAGGATGATTTTCATTGGCTCCTTTTTGTGTTCTGAAATGACTAAGAGAGCCATATGGGATCAGTGGATTTCAACCCCTAAAAGCAGGAAAAGTCTTATTTGGCTTGCTAATTTCCCACAATGTCAGGCCCAGTACTGCCTGGCACTCAAGTGTTTAGTAAATAAGTGAGTATATATGTGAATAAGCCTTTTTGTGGAGCTGATCAGTAAATATTTCACAAAGGAATTATGTCATTTTCTAGATAAGGAAACTGAGGCTTAGAGAGGTTAGATAACTCACCCACTGTCACACTGGATAAGTGGTAGCGCCAAGACTTGTTGGATTCAGAAGGTCAGGTGCCTGCTAGTATATTGGAGTTAGAAGTAATGTAAGAGGTGTAAGGGTGTACCTGTGTTTTCTGAATCTTTTTTTTCCCTCATTCATTCTTTGACAAAAGATAAAGCTTTAACCCTGTGGTCCTGTCTATTCTTATTTCTCTTTCTTTTGTGACGTGTAAGCCAAACAACCTGAGCTATCAGCACTGTTTCTTCAGCCTCCGCTATCACTCACCCACTGCTAAAGAGACCAGTCCTCAAGCACACTCTGTATCTAGGCAGACAGTGGTCAGTGGAACATTGTCCCTAGAGTATTCTTCATCCAAGCAATTGCTTTACTGTCATTTCATGATACTGTATGTCTCACTTTTTTTAGATGGCGCTCAAATATGTCTGATGTACTTTCTTAAAAAATGTAAATGTAATATTTTATATCTGTTTATATCAGAGCCCTCTATCTAGCAGTTAAGTCATTGAACTGTCAGTAAAACTTGTTTGTATGTGTGCCTTTAATCATGATACTGAATTAAAGACCAACGTGAATTATAGACCATCTGATATATAAACCCTTACGTAGAATTCGATTTTGTTGTTGGCTTCCATGTTATTTTTCTCTTGCTGCATAACAAATTCCCAAAGACTTAGTAGCTTAACACAACACGCTTTTCTTATCTTCCAGTTTTTATGGGTCAGAATTTGGGTACAGCTTAACTGGGTTCTCTGTTTGAGATCATATGAGGTTGGCTGGGGCTGTGATATCATGAGAAGGTTAACTGGGGAAAGATCCACTTCAGGCTCCTTCGGGTTGTTAGCAGGATTCATCTTCTTGTGGCTATAGAACTGAGGTCCCTATTTGCTTTTTGGCTATTGTCTAGGGGTCACTGTTAGCACCTAGAAGCTGCCTACAGTTCCTTGCCATGCAGCTCTCTGGAGGTCCTCTTATAACATGACAGCTTAAAACCAGCAAAGGATAATCTTTCTCCAAGAAGGCCTGGACTTTCTTTAAAAACCTTCTACCTGATTAAGCCAAGCCCACCCAGGATAATCTCCCTTTTGAACAACTCAAAATCAACTGATTTGAGACCTTAACAATCCCTTCACTTTAATATGTAATGTAATTTAATCGTGAGAGTGACATCTCATCACCTTTTCCAAAGTCTGTTGATGAGAAGCAAGACTCAGGTCCTGCCCACACTCAAAAAGGAAATTATACAGAATGTGATTATGGGGGAAGAAGGAGAATGTCACTGTGGTGATTAAGTTTGTGTGTCAACATGGCTGGGCCTGGTTGAGTGTCTGGGCAGCTGGTGGTAGTTATTCCCCATGATGACACTGGCAATCAGCTCCATGGTGGGATCTACCACAAGCAGCTGAGTAGTTGCTTTGGGTATGTGGTCTGCTTCCCATATATAAAAAGCAGCTTTGGGAGTGGTCTCTAGCAAATGGCATGCTTGGACCCTGCATGTAGCTGTGTCATTGTTCAGCAGCCTGCCAAGCTCTACTGACCTTGGGACTTAAAATGAACTTGAATTAATGGCCTGCCATGTGGTTTGGTAACATCAGAACTGTGCCTTTTTACTTGTCAACCTTGGGGTTGTTAGTCTCAGCAGCCAGTAGCTGCCTGAGTGAAGAAAAGCCTCTAGCTTCAGTGGCCCTGGAACAGGAAGCAGAGTTGAAGCCCAAGGTTGAGGGGCTTTTACCCAGCCCCTAGACCTGGCACTTTGAACTTGGACTTAAAGCTTCCAAACTGTGAAAGAATAAACTCTCGTTTGTTCAAGCCGTCCCATTTGTGGTATATTTCTGCCAGAGCAGCATTAGGTAACCAGAGCAGGCACCTTAGGATCTGTGTGTCACAACTTCCTTTTTTACTCTTTTCACAGGGTTTTTTGTCAGCAGTTGGAGACCCTTTCTCCAAAATGATTTTAAATCATGGAAAGAAAAAGAGGATTTGGAGATATCTTGAATTTGAGGAAGAAGAAGACAAACAGTTAGCAGATGCCATGGCTTCTCTTGCATATCTAGTATTTGTACAGTGTATCAGTATTGATCAGCTTCCAATGGTCTTAAGGTACGAGTTAATGTTTGGTTTATTCATGTATTCTAAAAGGAATGTTATCAAACTATAATGTCCTATATATGTGTTTACTAACATGCCTGAGACATATGAACTAAGCATATTTTCAATAAATGATGCTAGCCACTGAAGTTGTAATGATACTGGCTGTAATCTGTCAAGCTATGAAAACATGTTGAAATGGGCAGAAAGGAATGATGGGAACAGTGGTCAAAAGGTTTTAAACTGGTGTTAGCTTTGAAGATTTTGGGACAGTCCTGGACTGGAATTTAGACCATGAGGTAGTCTAAATTATCAACTCCTTGCTAGATTACTGCTATCCTGAGTAGATCTTCATGCATCTCTCATTCCTTTTTAGTCCAGCTCATTCTCACACACTAGAAAGTGAAGCTTTAAAAGCTGTCCCTTACTGAACACCATTCACTGCTTCTTGTTGCTATAAGAATAAAGGTTAAATGCCTTAACATGACTTGAGAGACAAGCTTATGCATGTTTGGTCCTAATTCATCTACCACTTCTTGTTTACTACGCTCCAGTCACACAACCCTTTTGGTTTCTTGTTCAAATGTGTCATGAACTTTCCTGATGTAGGGCCTTTTTGCATGCTTAGAACAATCTTTATCCTAAAGTCACTTTCTGACGAAAGCCTTCTCTCACTATCCAGTGAAGGTCAAATCTTTCTATTATAATTACCTTGAACTTGTCCTTCTTTCTTACAAAGTTTATTTTTAAAATTTATAAAAATTGATGGCATATCAACTGAGGTATTCGAACAAATGGATGCAATGCTAGAAGTGCTCACTTGTCTATGCCAAGAAATTTGGAACACATCTGCCTAGCCACGCAACTGAAAGAGATCTGTATTTGTGCCCATTCCAATGTGGAAATTATTGAACAATATCATTAATACCCCATACAAAATTTTGCTGAAAATAATTCAAAAACAATTGCTGCAGTACATCGACAGGGAGCTGCCAGAAATTCAGGCCAGATTCAGAAGAGGATGTGGAATGAGAGATAATCATTATTGACATCAGATGGATCTTGGCTTAAAGCAGAGAATACCAGAAGGATATTTACCTGTGTTTTATTGACTATGTAAATGCCTTGACTGTGTGGATCATAATAAATCACGGATAATATTGCAAAGAATAGGAATTCCAGAACACATCATTGTGTTCATGCAGAACTTGTATATATATAAGAGGCAGTCATTCAAACAAAACAAGGGAATACTGCATTTTTTAAAATCAGGAAAGGTGTGTGTCAAGGTTGTGTCCTTTCACCATACTTAATCAGTCTGTATGCTGAGCAGATAATCTGAGACTCTGGACTCTATGAATAGGAATGTGATATCAAGATTGGAGGAAGACTTATTAACAACCTACAATATGCAGATGACACAACCTTGCTTGGTGAAAGGGAAGAAGACTTAAAGCACTTGATGAAGATCAAAGACTACAGCCTTCAGTATGGATCACACCATAACTGAAAGAAAACAAAAATCCTCACAACTGGACCAGTAAACAACCTCATGTTAAATGGAGAAAATGTTAAAGTTGTCAAACCAGAACCAAACTCACTGCTGCCAAGTCAGATCCAACTCATAGTGACCCCTTCTTGGGTTTCCAAGGCAGTATCACTATGGAAGTAGATTGCCCAGTCTTTCTGAGGAGTGGCTGTTGGGTTTGAACCACCAGCCTTCTGGTTAGCAGTCAGATGCTTTAGGCACTATGCTACCAGAGCTCCCATAAAGTTGTCAAGGATTTCATTTTACTAAAATCCACAATCAGCAACTATGGAAGCCAGACCGAGATACCAAATCCCTTGCCATTGACTTAATTCTGATTGATAGCAACCCTGCAGGACAAAGTAGAACTGCCCCATAGTGTTTACAAGGCTGTAAATCTTTATGGAAGCAGACTGCTCATCTTTCCCCCATGCAGCAGCTGGTAGATTTAAACTGCCAACTATTGGTTAGCAGTTGAATTCATTAACTGCCACCAGAGCTCCTCCCATGGAAGCAGAAGCCAAAGAATCAAATGATGTGTTGCATTTGGGCAAATCTTTTGCAAAAGTCCTCTATAAAGTATTGAAAAGCAAAGATGTCATTTTGAGGATTATGGTACACCTAACCCAAGCCATGGTATTTTCAGTTATCTCATATGCATGTGAAAGCTGGACAATGAATAAAGAAGACAAAAGAAGAATTGATGCCTTTGAATTTAGGGTGTTGGTGAAGAATACTGAATATACCATGGACTTTCAGAAGAAGGAACAAATCTTTCTTAAGGAAGTACAGCCAGAATGCTCCTTGGAAGTCAGTATGGGGAGACTCTGTCTCATGTACTTTGGTCGTCAGAAGGGACCAGTCCCTGGAGAAGAGTCATCATGCTTAGTAAAGTAGAGGGTCAGAGAAAAAGAGGAAGACCCTCAATAAGGTGGATTGACACAGTGGCTTCAACAGTGGGCTCAAACATAGCAGCAATGGCGAGGATGGTACAGGATGGGGCAGGGCTTCATTCTGCTGTATATCTAATATCAGCAATGACAGGTATATATGTACTTCTATGATATAACACCTTTGGATTTTAAGATCCATAAGGATCTTGTATGATCGTATATTTGTCTTGCAGGCCTTGGGTACATTTCTCTGTGGGAGTTTGTATATTTATGTATGCATGTACCTGGGGATATGTTTGTTTGTAAGTATTTCAATAATGGCTACCATTGGCATATTAACTATGTATTAAAACAGCTTTCCATGCATTTAACATGCATCATCTAATCTTTATAGTAAGCCTTTGAAATAGAGCATTATCTCATTTTACAAAAGAAAATAACAGACTGAGATAAGATACTGTCAAAGAAAGATATCATGTAACCAACTACTGACAAAAGTGGAATAGCTCTAACTTCAGAGCCTATACTCTTTAAGCATTACACTCTTCCACTAAAATGACTTAGTATGTGTATAAAATTTCTAAAATGGTTGGTGTATATTTGTGTGTGTTTTCTACCTACCTTTCCCCCCCCATTTTAGCCCATCGTACCTTTTGCAGTTCAATATGAAGCATATTGAAGTCTTTTTGCAAAGGTAAGATCATTCAAATGGCATTAGAATTAAATAGTAGTGTTAAAATGGTCCTTGTCAAGATCACGGGAGGCTACTTTCTCTTTGCCAGGCCCTAATTAATTAACTAGTTATTTTATTAAACAGTAGGCACTCTGAATGGCATAGTACCTAAGGCATTTGACTGCTAATCAGAAGGCTGGTGGTTCATACCCAGTTTCCTCGGAAGGAAGACTGAGCAATCTACTTTTGTAGAGATAACATCTCGGAAACCTAAGGAAGGATCACTATGAGTCATATCAACTTGATGGTAGTGAGTTTTGTGTGGTTTTTGCTTTATTAAACAGTGAGGCAAATATTCATGATAGAGACTGTGGTAGTTAAGTTTGTGTGTCAACTTGGCTGGAACTGGTTGAGTGGCTGGGCAGCTGGATGTAGTATTCCCCATGATGAAACTGGTAATCAACTCCGTGATGGAATCTACTATGAGCAGCTGAGTAGCTGCCTTAAGGCTATGGTCTACTTCCTGTTTATAAGTAGAAAGCTTGGGGAACGGTCTCTAGCTTATGGCATGCTTGAACACTGCATGTAGCCATGTCGTTGTTCAGCAGCCTGCAATGCTCTGCCAACCTTGGGGCTTTCAGTGGACTTGAATTAAATGGCCTGCCATGTGGTTTGGTAACATTAGGACTGTGCCTTTTTACTTATCAACCTTGGGCTTGTCAGTCTCAGCAGCCAGCAGCTGTCTGAGTGAAGAAAAGCCTCCAGCTTCAGTGGGCAGGGAGCAGGAGGCAGAACTGAAGTCCAAAGTTGTGGGGCTTTCACCCAGCCCCTAGTGCCTGGCACTTTGAACTTGGACTTAAAAGCCTCCAGATTGTAAGAATAAACTCCTGTTAAAGCTATCCCATTTGTGGTATATTCTTGTCAGAGCAGCACTATTGCTATTGTTGTTAGGTGCCATTGAATCAGACCCGACTCATAGCGACCTTGCCTTGGGTTTCTGAGGCAGTATCACTGTGGAAGTAGATTGCCCCATCACTAGATAACTGAAACAGAGACAAAAATGAGTCAAAAGAGATTTTTCTCAAAAGTCTCTTATTTTCCATTCAAGATAATATTAAGATACCTTACAATAACCTTGGTTTTCTTACCATCTGTTTCTGAGGTTTCTTTTCCTTATTTTAAAAATTGGTAAACAGAAACATCCCTACCCCACTACATCCTTCTCCATCTGAGGAGGGGTGGTCAATAAAAGAAGTCCATCCGTGCTTTTGCTTCATAATCTATTAATTGTTTCAAAAGGAATAATTCAGATTACTGACATTGATGCCATTCGGTTACAACTCTTCATTTGGAGTTCTAAGAGGCAAGACTTTCTCTTTAAAACAATTACAGGGTAACAGGTATGCATAATTTTTCAACATCGAAATTTAAGAATTTTGCAAAATTCTATGTGCTTTGTTTTCTTTCCCTGTTAAAACATGTTTAAATTATCTCTGGAGAGCAGTCAGGGCCTTGCAGGTACCCTGTAGGAACACTAGTGATAGTTTATCAATCCCATCTCTTCCCAGGTGAAGGAAGCTTTGTAACATGGCAAATATCCAAAGCCTTGGCCCACAAGGCAGAAATTTCCAAGGGTCTCCTAGCACAAGTAGTTATTGACTTTTTAAATTTGCTGTATTATGTATATCTTAATGATTTTATATTCTTTTTACTTAGTTTCTATTATTTATGTGGTGAGTGTACCATATTCTTACATATTATTCTTGAATGTAAGTTTTATGTTCTTGAGATTTCCAAACTGGTTAGTCATTGAGTCAAGAACAACTCTTTGTAGGATTAGAATAAGAACCTGGAGGCTCAGATTTATTTATTTATTTACTTACTTACTTTTACTTACCTCCCTACCTACTTAACCTACCAACCACAGATCTTATTTAGTTAATAATAATCACAGATATTACAAAATAAATTATAATCAGTGAAAAGCATTGAATTCTTTTTGTTTAGAAAGAACTGAAGAGATTGTATAGAAAAACGAATTGCAATATTATAGTATTATATTTTTAATATTCTCTTCCAGAACAGAAGAGTCTGTTTTCTCCAAAGGATTGGTAAGATTTGTTTGCTTCAGTTATAATTTAAATATGTAGTCATATCAACCAATATATCATATATATGCATTTCTACATATATTTTAATCTGTAGGATCTGTTGGAGAATGGTTTATTGAGAATAGAAGACAATAGTTTACTTCACCAGTACTTAGAAATCAAGAGTTTTCTTACTGTGCCTCAGGTAATTATGTTTTCTATGTTAAAAATAGCCCCTTGCTTATCCTGAACTTAAGTAACTCCTTTCCCACTTTCTTCTCCATGTCCTTTAAAAACTCCAGTGCAGTGCTGTCCAATAGAAGTTCTGTGACGGTTGGAATGTTCTGTTACCTACGCTGTATAGTACGATAGCCACTCTCCACATTAAACACTTGAAATGTGGGTAGTTTGATTAAGAACTGAATTTTAAATTTAATTTACATTAACTTAAACTTGCTTAGTTACATGGGGCTAGTGGCCAGAATAGTCAACAGCACAGCGTGTAGTGGAAAGCACAACCTTTTTTAACGCAGTGTTGGGACCTTGGAAAAGGCATCTCCTTTACTTTTCTTCTAACTCAGATCCTTAGGACTCCATTTGAGAGATGCACTGACTCATTACTTACTCACTCACTGCAGTCGAGTCGGATCCGACTTAATAGCGACCCCTCCTTGGGTTTCCAAGGTGGTATCACTATGAAAGTAGATTGCCCAACCTGGAAAGTCTAATAAACATTTCATTTGTACCTCCTGTGATTTATTTTGGCTAATACTGTTTGTTAGGAGCTCTGGTAGCATAGTGCCTAAGGCACTTGACTGCTAACCAGAAGGCTGGTGGTTCTAAACCCACCAGCCACTCCTCGGAAGGAAGATGGGACAATCTACGTCCATAGTGATACTGCCTCGGAAACCCAAGGAGGGGTCACTGTGAGTCGAGTCCGACTCCACGGCACATAACAACAATACTGTTTGTTAGTTATGGTATATCCAATGTAGAAACTTATTTTTCTACTACTTAAATTAAAAAATACGGCTTTTGTTAGTATATTAAACCTGACTATTTTTAAGGAAGGAGCTCTGGTAGCATAGTGGCTAAGGCACTTGACTGCTCACCAGATGGCTGGTGGTTCAAACCCATCAGCCACTCCTCGGAAGGAAGGTTGGGCAATCCTACTTCCATAGTGATACTGCCTCGGAAACCCAAGGAGGGGTCGCTATGAGTCAGGGCTGACTCGACGGCACATAACAACAACAACATTTTTAAGGAATAGGTTATATTTCTGTATACTTGATTTCATTTTCATCTATTCTAGACATAATTGAAAATTACCATTCACTTTTAAATTCACACTTTGTAACACCCCACTCAATATCACTTACAAAATTTATTGGCTTTCACTTCCTGTGAAACAGTGGAATAAACGGCTAAGGGAAAACTTATCTTCACTTTTAAATGTATTTTTCCTTTTCCAAATTTTCAGTATCTACTGTTGATAGTACAGTTGTTTGTTTGCAGTTAATATAATTTATTAACATATGAATTTTAAATTGTTTTATTTCCAGGGCTTAGTGAAGGTAATGACGCTTTGCCCCACTGAGACACTGGTATGTAAATGTTTTGGAACAAAATAATGAGTTAGAGTGATAAATTGGATAAATAATTTAATCTTTATTCATTTTATGTAACAATATTGTTTGTTCTATTTTAGAGGAAAAAGGGTTTAGCCATGCTGCAGCTGTATATTAACAAGTTGGACTCACAAGGCAAATATACATTATTTAGGTATGTAGCAAGTATGATTAATTGCTAAATGTGTAGTTGATTAAAAACCAAATTAATCCCATGTAATTATTCCAGGGTATAGTATTTCAGTATGATTTACCTCTAATACAATTCTAGGTAAAAAACAATTGCCATTGAGTTGATTCTGACTCATGATAACCCATGTGTGTCATAGTAGAACTGTGCTCCATAGGGTGTTCAGTGGCTGTAGTGCCTAAGGCCTTTGACTGCTAACCAGAAGGCTGGCGGTTCAAACCCACCAGTCATTCCTTGGAAGGAAGACTGGACAATCTACTTCTGTAGAGATACTGCCTTGGAAACTGAGGTGGAATGTACTTGATGGCAGTGAGTTTGGTTTGGTTTATTTTAATAAGTGTTCTTATTCACTGTGTGTGTGTGTGTGTGTGTATACTTATATACTTGTACACGTGTATATATAAATAAAATGAATAATAGTATATATTTTAATCAGCTAAAATGGACTTAAAAGATTTAAACTGAGATTGTTAAGGCTCCTATTAGCAACAGTAGGTATAATAGATAACTTTGTAATTGTTTTCACCTTACTAATGTCTTCACTGTGGATTTTATATTCTTGAGGATAAAACATAATCCATTTGAATTTGTTAAACTTTTAGTCATCATTTAATTATAATTGTTATCTAGGATAATCTCAAATATATTATAATTTTGCTTTCAAGGTGCTTATTGAATACAAGTAATCATTCAGGAGTCGAAGCCTTTATTATTCAAAATATCAAAAATCAAATTGATGTGTCATTAAAGGTAAGAAAGGGCATGCTGTCTCTACTGTTAGGGTATATTTTTTCTTCTATTTCTGCTAATTCTTATTCTTTAAAAAAAAAACCTGAATTTTGAAATTTTGTTAACTATAAATTTAAATTACATTAATTCTGTCAGCTAGTAATCTGACTTCTTTTTGTTTTGTTACTTACTTCTGAAAAATTCAGTCTAATCTATATGTGAGTACTCAGTAATTCCACAGAGAAAACAAAGAGCACCAGTTTTCTGAACTGACAGGGTTTGTTCCAGGTGTCTGGAGACAGTGAATGAAAGAATAGAAATTAAAGTTACAAATATATGTTTTAAATGTATAATAGTTTATTTTTGTGGTAGCAAAGTATTAGAAAAACACACGAATTTGTCAGGCTCTTATATACAACCTTTCCCAATTTTTCTTTTGCTTTTCAGAGATCATATAATAACAAATGGTTTACAGGACCAAAGCTAATTTCCCTTTTAGACTTGGTACTCTTTCTTCCAGAGGGTGCTGAAACAGATCTGCTGCAAAACTCAGATAGGTGAGATGACCATTATTGCTAAGGTTCAAATAGGAACTATGTAAACCCCTACTTAGGAAACCTAAATTAATAAAAATATTAATAAATTAATAAAACATATTTTTCTGTAATGTTAAGCTTTATGGATAATATATAAAATATTTAAAGATTTTCATATTTAAGCAATTAGATAATGAGTAAAACCAAACTCAAAAATATTCTTCTTTAAAGAAGAGTGACCAGTGGTATGATTCAGTAACTTTGGCAAACCCAGCATTTTATTTTAGTGCATAGACATTTGCGACTAAGCATTTCCAACTAAAAACTGAGGATTTTATGTATATAAATTATAAGAGGTGATATGTTTGGGTTTTGTTTTGTTTTGTAGGGCTTCATTTTTTCCCCCTTCATAATAGAGCATATAATTTGTTTTCAGTATACTGCAATGGATGTTGAGAAAATTATTGTAAGCATTTATAGAAGGTATTTCAAAATTCAGAAAGCAAGAGATTATACTCTCAAATATTAAAGATAACAAGGCTGTCTTGGGAAAAAATTCACAATTGTATTTTGTGAACTTAAATGGAAAACAAGGGTAGGGTAATAATTTATTACTACTCCAAGAGATCTGTTGAGGGGAATAATTTTAATGGCAAACAATTACACAAATAAACCCAAGGTTTTTACTTATTCATTAATATTGCTGTTGATTGTGTAAAACTGTACTATAAGTAATGAATTATGTATTTTTAATTAACAGGATTATGGCTTCATTAAATTTATTGAGGTATTTGATTATCAAAGATAATGAAAATGACAATCAAGTAAGTGAATTATTTATAAAAGAAACTGAGTATATTCGAAATGCATAAAGAATGTTTCAGATTTTCTTTATCAGTACCTACTTAGGCCAGTACTTCATATTTTACCCTGCCCTATCACCACCTCCAGCTTTCTTAACCTTTCCTGGTGTAGCTTTGCTCTCTTGCTGTGAGCATTGCTTAGCTCTCTTGGAGCAGATGAATTGTAGATTCCAAGTTAACAAACCTTTTGGAGCTCAATGTATATTTGGATGTTCTGTTCAGTTGACTCCACCTATAGCGCATAATTTAAGTCTGAGACCTCCATATAATATCAATTCATCTGGTATTTTCATAGCGCTTCATCAGACGTGACAAAGTGTTTCAGCACTAAAACGGAATTTGTTAACAGCACCTTTTGGATAATGTGTAGGAAGTTGGATTTTTTAAATAGCACATAATTAGAGATATTCAATAAATAGAAAACTATTTGAGGGAGATTTATCATACTGTAAAATTATATTTGCTCTTTATCTTTTTCTATCTGCTCTAATAGTTGGCTTTCCCTGTAGGTGTCATCTCCATTAACTAACTGAATCACAGTGTGTTATTAATCTGGTTTTTTTAAAAAGTAATAGAAGAAAGGAAAGTAATTAATTTTTATATAAAGATGCCAATGAACTTTTTTTTTTAAGTGAAAAGTTTATGGGAAAAATAACAGTTTCATTGTCTCTTGACAGATCTAGTAGACTCAGTAATTTGACCTCTTATTCATCCCTTTTGAGCCCAAAATAGTATCCGCTAGCATTGACTAGTGCTTACTCTGTGCTAGGTACTATTTCTCCCCACACATTTTATTGTAAAAATTTTACATATGTACATCAAAATTGAAAGAATTTTACAGTGATCCCCTATTTGCCCACTACCTAAATCCTACCATTATCTTGCTTTATCACATATCCATCTTTACCCCCCTCTGTCAATCTCTCTCTTTTTTTTTAATGCATTTCAAAGTAACTGCAGGTATCAGTGTATTAGTTGCTGTGGAATCCACTCCGACTCATGTGTGTCAGAGTAGAACTGTGCTCCATAGGGTTGTTTTTTTTTTAAATAAATTTTGTTGAAAATATATACAGCAAAACATAGACAAATTTAACAATTTCTGCATGCATAATTCAGTGACATTGATTACATTCTTCGAGTTATGCAACCATTCTCATTCTCCTTTTCAGAACTATTCCTCTCCCTAAGCTTCCACTTTAACCTTATTAGTTCCTGTTGTCAGTTTGATCTCATTCATGTAGATAGTTCTTTAGAAGAGCACAGTGCTCAAGGCAGACATTCTTTACTAACTGAGCTGAACTGTTGTTTCATTTAAAGAAGACTTGGGGCATATTGTTGGTTTAAGATTTTTAAGTTATCTTGGGGTAATAGTTTCGGGGGTTCATCCAGCCTCATTGGCTCCAGAGAGTCTAGATTCTATGAGGATTTGAAATTCTATTCCACCATTTACCCCCTCTTGAACACAATTCTTCTATAGGATCTTGTGATTAAAACATTTAGTAATGATAGCCAGGCACCATTCAGTTCTGGTCTCATGGCAAAGGACACAGTTCTTCATGGAGGCAGTTAGCCTCCTATTTCCTCCTATTCCTGACTGTCCTCCTTCCTTCTTCCTGGATGGCTGTTTGCAAGCTTTTAAGGGCCTTGGCACTAAACAACAAATTAGGAGTAGAAAAGAAGTACTAGAAATGATACTAAGCCAATTAACTGGGATGCTCCATGAAATCATGATCCTAAACCTCCAAACCAAAAAGCCAGTGTTTGCTTATACCTAAGCAGCCTTAGCCACTGTTTCTTGTGTGTGAGTGTGGGTTGATGCAGGTGTGAAAATAAATATCACACCACGTTTGCCAGCTTAACATTTTATAAATGTACAACTTACATCAATTATATTAGTAAACTGTGCAACAGTTACCCTCAGTCAGTGCAATTTTTCTATCAACATAAGCTTAGTGATTCATAATAATCCCTCTCCATAGAGTTTTCATTGGCTGATTTTTGAAGTAGATCGCCAGTCCTTTTCTTCCAGTGTGCTTCTGGGTGGACTTAAACCACCAACCTTTGGGCTAGCAGCTAAGCACATGAACTGTTTGCACTACCCAGGGACTGTGCAGATACCAGTATACTTTTAATATTTCAACATGTGTTTCATTAAGTTGTTGTTGTTGTTATGTGCCGTCGAGTCAGACCTGACTCATAGCGACCCCTCCTTGGGTTTCCGAGGCAGTATCACTACGGAAGTAGGATTGCCCAACCTTCCTTCCGAGGAGTGGCTAGTGGGTTTGAACCGCCAGCCGTCTGGTTAGTAGTCAAGTGCCTTAGCCACTATGCTACCAGAACTCCCGTTTCATTAAGTAGAGTTAAATATTGGTTTACAGTTTTTAAGGTAAAATTTACAAATAATGTACACATTTTAAGTATATTCACTGAGTTTTAACAAATGAATTGTGCAGTCTTTGCTATAATATCTCCAGATACCAGTTTAAGTTGGCTTGAACATTTTAAGGGAAAGGAAAGGATACAGCTAGTTTATAGGACTGCTTTCTTATTTAATGATTTCCTTTAACATCAGAGTTGAAAGAATTTTACAGTGTTCACCCATTTACCAACCACCTAGATTCTATTAAAAAGCAGCTCTGGTGGTACAGTGATTAAAGAATTCGGCTGCTAGCCAAAAGGTTAGTGGTTCAACCCCCGCAGCCACTGCGCTGGAGAAAAATGAGGCATCCTGCTTCCCTAAAGATTTACAGCCTTGGAAACCCTGAGGGCAATACTACTTTGTCCTGTAGGGTCACTATGAGTCAGAATTGATTAGATGGCAGTGGGTGGTAGTGATGAAATAAAATGATATCCTGGTGATGCTGAATTGTGGAGGCTTTTTTTAAAAAGGCTCCTACTGGTATCTATTTTTGGCCAGTTAAGTGTGATGAAAGGGTAACGAGACAGCTGAAAAGCAGCTGGAGAGGTGTACAAAAAAATTAAATAAGAAACACAAAGGAACAAAGTGATTCATAATTTAATAATAATCCATTTCTTTTCCTGCTATTTTGAGTCACTGTCAGCTGACTACTTTCGATGTCCTTCCTTGCCTCACCTTACTATCTCATGTCTCTTTATCTCCTTGCCTAAGTTATAAATTGTACCTTCTCCCATACCTCATTTGCACATAATTTTTCTTGACTTTTATAGTATAAACCATGTCCCTATCTCTACTGGTAAAACCAACTTCATTTTTATGCCTAATGTTCTGTACTATTTGGTGGGTCTCTTTAATTACTAGTTATTTTCGATTGCATGAATTATTTTTAATGCACAGACCATAATCATTTTATCCCTTATCTCTGTTCTGTCTACTCATGCCCTTTGCCATCCACCTACCTACCCATTCTTTTTCTAAATAATTTGTGATTGAAATATGTAGAGTAAAAGCAGAGCCAAGTGAAATAATGTGAGATTGCAGAGATCACAGATTAGTATTAGGAATTTTTAAAAATAAATTATATAAATACATGCTTATACACCATTTAGAAAAACAGATACGTTGCATACACACACACACACACACACACATAATTCTATATAAGGCATATTTTGGGTTTTCATTAAATCGTTTCTTTCTCCAGGATTAAAACATACTTCTCATGTGATCTTTGCAGAGGCAAAAGACTTCAGGTGATAGAAGTCCTTTATTGTTATAAGTGATAGAAGTTCTGCAGTATTTCGTTACAAATTGGGAGTTCTGGTGGCGCAGTGCCTAAGGCATTTGACTGCTAACCAGAAGGTTGATGGTTCAAACCCACCAGCAACTCTGCAGAAGGAACACAGGAAAATCTACTTCTGTAAAGATTTACCACCTCAGAAACCCATTGGGGGTTGCTATGAGTCGGAATCAACTCAATGGCAGTGAGTTTGTTTTGGGTTTGTTCTTGGTTTTATACAAATTAAGAGAAAGGGGAAACTGGGTCTTGTTATTTGCTTCTTTTAATTTTTTCATTGTCATTGTCGACTGTCAAGGCCCTTGTCTATTCTGGCAATAAATTTCATTGTGGCATGGAACTGCCTAGTCCTTTCCTGAGTAGGCTGCAATTAATTTTGAAATGCACAGTTAAGCCTTAGAATAGCAAAGATTTTGGAACTACAACATTAGTGAGTCTGCTTGGGTATGGAATGAAAAGCAGGTATTTGTGAAAATTTCAAAGTTTTAATCCTAGTATAGTTGCAGGTAGTCCCCAGCTTACAAGGGGGTCCTTCTGATAACTCTGTTGGAAGTTGGTTCTGACTTGTCAAATGCCCTTTTTTTTTTTTTTCATTATTACTACCATTCATTATCAATATCTTTATAAATCTGCTCTTTGAACATCTGTGAGTGAATATCTGAGAATGGTAACATCAGCAATATTATTTATAGTACATACTACAATAAGATATACCCCCTAAGAAAAAAATCCTGATGGTTATAAATGCAGTTCATTTTAACTTAGATATGCTGTATGCTGGAAACAACCTATACAATAAAACCTGTGAGAGCTGGAAGTAGATGGGACTGCCTTGTTTTTCTGGGTCTTAACAAGTTTTCTGCCTTTAACAGGGTTTAGTTTTAACCACTTTTTTATCTCTCCTTTTAGTGGAAAATATTTGCATTTTCTTTCTCTGACAGGTTTCTGCCTTACACAGGTTCTGACTATCTCAGTTTTTAATATATTTTTTAAAATCTTGATACTTTTTTTTTTTCTAGATACTGAACATAAAAGAAATCTTAAAAGGATTTTCTTTGTAGTTTTTTTTTTTTTTTTTTTCTTTTTAAGACCTGATAAGCTTAATGTAAGGGCAAGATAAAATATTATTTCCACAGCTTCTTCACTCCTGGGAGCTCTGGTATAATGCCTAAGGCATTTGACTGCTAACCAGAAGGCTGGCAGTTCAAACCCACCAGCCACTCTGAGAAAGGAAGATTGGGCAAT